TATTTATATAATATCATTTTTTTCATTTTTTTTTAAGATTTGAGACTATTGTATGGAACTATGGATATATTTATTTAGAGTTTTTATATTTGTTGATGACTTGAAATTATTGATGATTAGAATTTTTAGCAAGTTTTTATTGTGTTAAAAGCTTTTGTTTAGAGTTTTTAATGACTATTATATATACTCCCTCCGTTCCTTATTATAAGAGACATTTGATGCTTATAGCATGTTCCCATATATAAGAGACACTTAAAAGTTGTCTCTATTTTTTGTATTGATTTCCTATTTTACCCTTATTTATTTTGTCTCCAACTCATACTCTCTCTCCCTCCCACTTCTCTTTCTTTTAATAATTTAATTGTTCTCTCTCATACTCTCTCTCCTTATTAATGGGGGCATTGTGGGAAAAAATATTATACTTTTTACATATTAATTGTTTCCAACTAATTTTAACTGTTTTTTTGATCAACGTGATTTGGTTATTTGTCTCTTATAATAAGGAACGGATGGAGTAATATTTTGGGTTTTTGTTTAAGAGTGTTCAAACAAATAAAAAAGAAAATAAAAAGATGTTTTTATAAGGCCTAAATCCAAAAAAATATAATTAAAAAAAAACTTCGGGACGTCTCAGTCCCGTCTCGGATTCGTCCCGTCCTGACCGGGACCGGGACAACACCGGGACGGGCTGAGATAGGGGACAAATTTACTGTCCCCTTACTGTTCATCAGGACAGAACCCCGATCCGTCCCTTGAACAACCCTATTTTGTTCCATGTTATAAAGTTTTTTTTCCTATAAAAAAATTAAGTTGGGCTTTAGGGGTTCATTAGAGTTAGGGTATGCTCCTAGGCTCAAAAAGCACTTATAAAAGTACTTACAAATCGCCCACCAATAAAGCCTTCACATCGATAACGAGATTCAAATTTATAATTTTATGGGTTATAATCTAACTTTTTAATCAACTGGACTAATTCTTGTTTGTAAAGAGAAATTTTTATTAATATCACATTTGTGAAGGTGCCACGATAAAGGGTCTTGATGAACCTTTTTCCAAGTTATAGCATATCGCTCAAAACCTCAGTTGGGATTGATATAGTGCCTGCTTGGGTCAGCGTTTGCTGGTCCAAATGCGGCTTAAATGCAAGATGAGCCCGATTGAATTTTTTGGGGTTGTTTAGAAGGGCTTATTTTGTATTGGGTTTATTGAATTTTAAGGTGACTGAATGTACATTGGGAATAAGTCAGAGGAGGGCGTTTATTTTGAAATATGAAGAGCTTATTTCTATCTGTGGGCCCAATACTTAACCCGCACGCGACAACTTCACCAGTGCGAAAGCGACACGCATTGCCATCCACCCAACGCCTACTCTTATGGCACCTGCCTTCATGTCCATTCCCTTCTCTCCATTTCCCCCCACAACCCTTCCTTCAAGTTAATAACATCTTCCCATCAAAATATCAAATATCTCTTTTATTTATGCCGCTCTCTCGTCAAATTCTCTCCATCCCCTTTTTTAATATATATACATATATATATGGGTGATCATAAACAAATAATGTTGGTGAGAGAGTAATAATAACAACAAATAACATTTTAGACGCTGTGTTTATATACGTGTGTGTTTAAATAGGAGGGAGTTTATTCTCCGGTTATTTCCTGTCATAATTCCCCCCTCTTTCCTGAAGATTCTTTTCATTTTATATTTAAAGTATTTCTTATGATTTTTCTCAAAGTTTTCAAATTGTCAATTCTTTTTTTTTTCTTGTTCACTTTATATTTAAAATATTTTTTATAATTTTTCTGAAGTTTTAAAATTTAATTCACTCATTAAATTGCAATTCTTTATATTAAATTATTTTAAATTCATTGTATTATGTAAAATTATTTTTTTTAATCATGTTTTATTATTTATTAAAACTCATATCCATTTTGGTTATTTTACAACAAAACTTATTTTTACTTAATCATAATCCAAATAACTTTTTATCAATCTTACTTTTACAAATTAGCTTTTCTGAACTCCAATTCAAATGCAATTCAGCTTATCCAATTTAACTTTTACTCAACTTCACTTTTTCATAAGCTAAATTGACAATAAGCTACTTTTCTAATCGCTGATCCAAACGGACAAAAATACCATAGCCATTGACCGTTACCTGTCATTAGATTTGACCATTAAAGACAACGGTCAAATCACATGATTTAATAAAAATAAACTTTTAGAGCCTATAAAAGCTAATAAATACTTTTAGATGTTAGGTGTTTTTTATAGATATTTTCAGGTATTTAAATACATTATTTTTTATTTTCTAAAAAATATTATAAGAAAAAAATTTAGAGAGAGAGGTATAAAAGACGTGCGCCTTGTGAAAATTAAAGGAATGGAGGAGGAAGCTTCCAGGAGAGAGTAAAAGCAAAAAGAAAGGAAAAAGGAAAGAAGCTGAAGGGAATTGACAAAAAGGATGCAATGAAGCGTAAATCAATCGAAATCTAGGTTTTGAGATTCGCTACGGACACAAGGGCTTTCGGAAGAAAGACTAGAGAAGAGGAAGATAGGGTTAGCTCCTTCAAGCTCCTTCCTCTCAGTTTCTGCATCCATCTCAAATGGGATTTTTTTGGAGCGAAACGCGGTAAACTCGAAAAACATATGTCCAGATCCTCTTATAATCCTCTCTCTCTTTTCCACATCTTTACCATTGAATTTAAAAAAAAAAAAAGAATGGTTCAGATTTATTTTTTAAAACAATAAATATCGACCTCTCTCTTTTTTCATATAATATCATGATAATAATTTTATAAAATATTAAATGAAATTTTGAGAGGAAATGATGGTAATCTTACCAGAGTGCTTCAGGAACATATGGGTATCGATGCAGGCCCCAAGGCAATAATATTTGATTTGATTGTACTTTTCTTTCATCTAGAGAAAAATGACAAAGTGACCTGAGAAATCAAAATCTCAGTTAAAAAAAAAAGGTTTGATATAATATTTTTAAAAAAAGCTTCCAAATTTGTACATTTTTTTTGTTATTAGTTGTTCAACACTTATCATTAATTGTTCAACACTTGTCATTATCAGTTCACAACTTATTAATAAATAATTTGTCATTACCGGTACATTTCTTGTTATTTACTGTTCAATACTTATTAGTACCAATTCACAACTTGTTAATAAACTTTTTAATGAAACAAGATGGAAACCATGAGTAATGTTACTATGTCCCCAAATAAAATTTCTTTATAATCTTTCGTCTTCATGTCAGATGGTAAGAGGAATGCTTGCCACATGCATGGGATAAAAAGGAATTACACTCAATACAGATAGGGCTAATGTCATTTGGCCGGCCGTGGATAAACACTTCTCCTTACAAGAAGAGAGTTTAGATTTAAATATGCACACATTTTTTAATAATACCATAATTTAAACATTTATTTGTTAATATGACGGAGGCAAAAAGATAACATGACACTTTGATGAGAAAATATTAGACAAAAAACATCTTCAACATCATGTCGATTCTTCTTAATGAAAGAAAATAGCCGACATGTTTCTCGAATTAAATAGTGAGCCAAAAAACCTTTCTTTCATGTTTTGTACAAATAGAATCAATCCTTATAATGTTTTAAATACATGGTTAGTTTAGGAAATTACTAATGAAAGCCATGAGCACTTCACAAGTTTGACAACGGGGCAATTGGGCAAATGTGAAATACTCCTCCGGTCCTTAATATAAGACCCATTTAACTAATTTGATTAGATTAAGAAAGTTAAGTAAGTTAGTTAATTATAAGAAAAGTGACACATTTTTCCTAAAACACCATGATCATCTTTCTTAATACCCCCTCTCCCTCTTCTATTTGATTATGGTTGAGGGAGTATCCATAGGGGTAATTTAGAGAAAATTGATAAATATGAGAAATGAGTCTTACATTTAGGATCAAAACTAACTCAAGAATTAGGTCATATATTAAGGACCGGAGGAGTATATAGTAGCCCATACGGTAATTGCCAATAACTTATTCTCCGAAATGAAACAGTTTAGGTAAAGTTTTGCAAAGCCAAGCGTTCGGTTAAGGAGAAGACTTGTTGACTTGTCATGAAAATGATAATACACACGAACGATCATTTATTATAAGCATTAATATCAATTACTGTAAAATATATAACAAGCCACAGTATTCACAAATTGTGTCTCCGCTTTCCAAAACGCATAATCCACCCTTTTAATTAAATAATTAAAAGAATTACTTCGTGTGATTTCATTAATTCTATTCTCCCTCATTTTTACGCATAGGTCTTTTTTACCAGACTTCTTTTAAATTGTCTACTTTATTAATTAATTTAATTAATTTTCGTTAATCAATTATAAGATAAAAATGAATTTTGTTATGAATTCTGTTCACATTCTTTTTATTTTGTAAGAAATATTATAAGATTTAGGAAGGAATGAAGAGTGAGAGAGCAAAACGAAAAGAAAGAACAAGGAAGGTAGAGAGAACTGATGAAAAGCAGAGGGAGAAAAAGCAGCCGCCCAGGCAGTGAGGCGTCAATCAAGCGAGACACTGTTGCTCCTTTGGACGTTAATTGATAAAAATGAGAGGGAGAAGAAGCAGCTGCGCAAGCGGTGAGATGTGTTGCTCCTTTCGACATTAGTTGGAGTGAAAAGCGGTGAGGCCATGGCAGAAGCTGATTTGCTGCGGACCAAAAAGATTGTTGGAGGAGAGGTCAAAGAAGGGGAAGGAAAATAGGGTGGGAAAATTACTGTAGAGTCCCACAGAAGACAATTTACTACCAGAAGGTCCCATGAAATCTCCAAATTCCTGATAAGTCCCCAGGGACCTCTGGGTAAATAATTTGAGTTGTGATATTACGTACTTGCCCTCAGTCATTGATAAAGGAAAGAAAAGAGGGAGAGACGCTGATTGGCTTCATTTAGTGCGGTTGTTTGTTATGCATGCACAAGGAAGAGAAGCTTCTGAAAGAAAGAAGGGAGTTATGCGCTGGTACTCCATCGCAGGCAAGCGACATTATTTCTTCATCTTCTTGGTACGTCTCATCATTAACAATATTTCTCTTCTTCTGTACACAACCAGTGTCAAGTTTAATGTTGGTCTGAAAAGTTGATTGTGTGTTGATATGTGGGTATTAAAGATGTGATTCAACTCACTAGAAATATTAAAGGAGGCTCATTTTAGTCATATGTGGTTTTAATCATGTTAGGTGTGGCTTTACTATGTGTGGCTAGGGTTAGAAAGCAATGCTCTGTTTTTCGGTGAATGAGGCTCTGCTTTTCGGTCACTGATGCTGTGTTGCTGATGAAGATGAGTGGAAAATAACAGATATTTATTATTGTAACCCCTCAAATGCGATGGTTAAATGTGTTGTTAATGGGTACATCGAAGGTTGTTAACATAACTGTATGACTTGTTATTAACAACTAGTCGCAGCTTTAATGCTGGTCTGAAAAGTTGATTGGGTGTTTATACGTTGGTATTAAGCATGTGATTAAGCTCTGTAGAAATATCAAGGGAGGCTCATTTTAGTCATATGTGGTTTTAATCATGTTAGGTGTGGTTTTACTATGTGTGGCTATGGTTAGAAAGCAATGCTCTGTTTTTCGGTGAATGATGCTCTGTTTTTCGGGCAATGATGCTGTGTTGCTGATGGAAATAAGTGGAAAATGACAGATATTTATTATTGTAACCCCTCAAATGCGATGGTTAAATGTGTTGTTAATGGATACATCGAAGATTGTTAACATAACTGTATGACTTGTTATTAACAAGTGATTATGGCAGGTTGATATCCAGGATGGCAACTTCCAGTGCAAAGCAATTGTTTTGCTACCTCCATATAGGAGGACAATTTATTAATGGTGTAGAAGGTGAAACGCAGTATGTTGGAGGTGGTGTGAGAACAAGAATGATAAAGGAAGGGACATCATATGGAGAATTTAGAACAATGGTGGCATCAATTGTGGGAAAAGAAAGTAATGGAATGGTTATGAAATTCACAGTAACCTTTGATGAGTGTACATTTGTGGACCTTGTAGATGATGAAGGAGTAGAACATTTGATTAACTTCAATGGCGACAGTGGTCATGTATATATAGGAGAAAATGGAGATCAAAATTCACAACTAACAAGGGATGTTGTAATAGAAGAGCAACATGTGTAAGTTGTGTTATTTAAATTTCGAAGTAATATTAGCTATTGTCAACTGTTGTGCATAAGTTGTTATTATAGTGATCGAAGGTTGTCATTAACGACCCCTTGACCTGTTCTGTTATGTAGGATGGAAGACTTGTTCGGAGGTTCAGATACATTGTCCATGTCTCCACCTAATGTGGTTAGTGAAGACCCACTATTGTTGCCATGTGGTTCAGAAATGATGCCAACCCCAATTCCGGAAATGAATTCAATAAAGTGGAAGGGTTTGGTTATCGGAGAAGGACAGATTTTTCCTAATGCAGTGGCTCTTAGGCAAGCACTGTATAGGTACAGTATTGCTGTGAAGTTTTCATACAAGTTTGTGAAGAACAATCAACAAAAGATCATTGTGAAGTGTATGGCGGAGGGATGCCCGTGGTATATGGGTGCATACTCAATGGGACAAAGACAAGATTCTGAGTTGTTAATAATTAGAACCTTAAGAAGTGAGCATGTGCATTATGCACAGGACAGCTTGGTTGTATCTCACTCTAGAGGGTCAAACTTAACATCATCAATCATGATAGATTCTTTGAGGTGTAATATAGACAAGAATGCTAATGAACTTAGAAGAGATCTGTATAGAGAATATGGGGTGCGACTGAATTATAGTCAAGCATACAGGGGTAGAGAAAGAGCATTGAGGGAAATACATGGTCGTGCACAGGATTCATACATGGCGATTCCCTGGATTTGTCAAAGGCTCATTGAAACTGATCCAAACACAAGTGCTCGATGGGAAGGGTTGGATAGTAACAGATTTCAGAGGGTGTTCATTGCTTATGGATGCTCAATTAATGGATTTTTAGAAGGGTGTCGACATATACTTTATATAGACGGCTGTCATCTAAGTGGTCCTTACAGGGGGACATTGATTTCAGCTAATGCATATGATGCAGACAATGAACTATTTCCATTAGCATATGCTATAGTTAGTGGGGAGACATATGATGATTGGGCTTGGTTTCTCCAGAACATCAAAGACATCACAAGATCAGTGGAGACAACGATAGTTTCAGATCGGAATAATGCCATTATAGGTGCTGTGCGAACAATATTTGGTGGCGAGAGACATGCTTTTTGTTATAGGCATGTGAAAGAAAATTTTAGTGCACATTATTTAAAAATTAACCGAGGCAGGGGACGAGTTTCAGGTACTTCAAAGGACGTTGCATTGAAAATGCTGGATGGAATCGCCTATGCAAGGATTGAGGATGAATATGTTGCTGCAATGGGGAAACTTAGATCATTCTGTCCACAATTGGCTGATTGGGTTGACACTCAAGGAGATGTAGATCGGTGGGCTTTAAGCAAATTCCCGTTTAAGCGATGGGATAACATCACTACTAATGTTGCGGAGTCGTTTAATGCCTGGATTTTGAAGGAGAGGAAGCACAATGTGTCAGTTCTCATACATGAGCATATGGAGAAATTAGCCAAGAAGATGGTTGCAAGCAAAATGGCAATGGAAAATTGGACAAATGGCGTTGGGCCAAATATTGAGTCCAAGTTGCAAGAAAAAGTAGCAAGAGCGGAGAATATGCATACTGTATATTATGGAGATAACCGAGTTCAAGTTGATACTACATCTCCTACTGGAATAATTTGTGTCACTGTTGATCTCACAGCTCAGAAATGCACTTGTTTAGCATGGCAAATGAGCGGAGTACCTTGTGCTCATGCCTGTGCAGCGATAAAGCTACTTCATGGTAGTGTTTATGAATTTGTAGATGATTGCTATAAGCTGTCAGCCCAAGAGAAGATATATGCAAGTAGTATGAGGCCAATTGCGACACATGATTGTCCTCGTCCCGAAGCTCTCACCGTTACGCAGATGATGACGGGAACATTTTTACAGCCACCAATCACTAAAAGACCCTCAGGGAGGCCAAAGAAAAGAAGGATTGAATCTCAATTTCAAAGTAAAAAACTTTACCACTGTGGAAGATGCCATGAGCCAGGCCACACTGTGAAGACTTGCCAGAACCCCAATCCAAGTTGAGCTTTGCTGGTGGCTTGTTGATATTTCGTTTTGTGAATGCTTGTGACAGCATTTTTTTTGTAAATGTCATAACCTACACCTCAAGTTGTCCGTCATTATCCACACATGCAACACGTATGCTTTTTTGAATAGGTTGTAAATTTGGTGTAGTTATGTTGTACATATATATATCAAGTGGTAAATGACACCTGGTTGTAATCTGATATAACATCATTTCTGTATTTTTGATGTACTGGTGAATAGGTTGTAATGGACTTGTTATCAGACGCCATGCAGGTTGTCATTAGCAGTCTCAATTATGTTACTGATATAAAGTGACAATTTCTCCTACTTCCAGTGTTCAGTGATTTCTTAAGACATTCGAGCTGTGTTAAAGTCATAATATGATATGATTTGGTTAGAATTAGATCTCATGTGGAGGTTGTGGTATCCCCAGCGTCAGTTGTCAGGGGCAATGCGAAGGTTGTTAACCAATTCTGTTCGGGTTGTCAACAATCCCTGTTGAGGTTGTAAATGAATTGCTGGAATAAAAATCTGCTGTAATATGATTTGGTTCTTTTAAAGCTGTTAATGACTTTAAAATGCTCCCAATTTTTGCTATTAAGGTCGTTATATGTGCTCATAATATAATTAAGTTAACAGTTGTGTTATACCCCGACTGAGTTGTTAACCAATTCTGTTCAGGTTGTCAACAATCCCTTTTGAGGTTGTGAACAACCCCTGTTGAGGTTGTAAACAGATGTGGCAGAGAGGACTCTGATATATGCCTATGATGTCACCGTGGGTACCATTTGTTTATCCAGTCTTATTCGGTCTGCATTTGTGGCCATGATGAAAACACATGAATGCCTTTACAAAAACTTGATAACCAGTAAAGGATATCAAAACACATTAACATATCTTAACATCCAGGATTCATACATGCTCAAAGAAAAGAATAAAATGTAAACTTGACGTTCACATGTCACTATGTTGTCAAATAAATAAATGTAAATACAATATATGCTTGTCATTTATTTCTTCCTCTTGCTTTGGGGGTTTCCTCGCAGCAAAGATAGCACTTCATCGCCATGCAGGTTGTTCCGATGAGTCACGAGCCACCACAAGCATCCAACCTTCAAGTCATGGATTTCTTCAGGGGAGTACTTAGGCATTGTGTAGCCGTCATCACCATACTCAGTGCCGTCCCATGTTTGTAACCAGCTCAACACATGCACCCCACAAGAGTCCCTACAAAGGAAAAACAAGTACTTTAGTGAATGAACATTAGCTCCCAAAAGTTGAGACACAAGTACTTGTTGTGTTGAAAAATAACTCACGTGTCAGATTGCACATGAACTTTTGCCCATGTGACTTCCTCGTCAATCTTGTCCTCCTCCGCAAACAGTGATGGCTTCAGCACACGAAGCACTTGGCAGAAACAATCTCTCTGCAAAAAAGGGACAAACAGAAGAAACAAGTTTGACAGTTGTGAATGACAAGTTATCAGGAAGCATTAACAACCTTCGCTGTAGCGAATGACAAGTAATCAGCAGGCATTAACAACCAGGACAGTTAAGCAGACAAGCAACCATAACGCATTAACAAGTTATAGAATGAATGTAAAGTTGTGCATACAATCCCTCTCGCCATGAATTGCTTAGGATCTATCTGTCCTCTCTTCTTCCCTTGCTTCCTTTGTGGTTTCTTCCCTGTTTTCATTGCTTCTTCTTCCTCTCTTTGTAATCTCAACATCGTCAAATTGTCCACCAACGAGTCAAGGGCATAGAAACGCATGGTTCTTACATCCATCACGTAACAGAACCAATGGTAATTGAAAAGGGTGGGGCCAAATATGAAGTCACAGTCTCCAATGTTATATCCTATGTGCTCCGGTAAGATTTCATGTTCATGTTTTTCCATGCTCCACCTAAGAGGATTAGCGGCCATTGTTTGCATTAACTCGGGTGTAAAAATGTGCCTACTGACACGACTGTGGTTCTCTTTTTCATCTCCCACCAAGGTTCTCGCCACCATAGACATGAACTATATCACACATACAAACAGTTAGTCATGATCATAATGACATTCGCAGTTCTCTATCTATATAAACAACTGTCTTACCCTGTCGTTCATCCATTTCCTGTCTTGTAGGCAGCAAAGCTCAGCACGTGTCAAGAAGTACCCATACATCTCTACAATGTACCTGCAGCAAAAGGAACAATGAGCACAAGGGTTGTATGTGTAAAATTGTTGTCAATCAGTTGTCCCAATTACAATCAGTCCCAACACTTACTTGGCACCTTCATCTTGATCACATCTTCTCGTGCACATCTGGAATAATTCCTCTTTCTCGTCAGCTTTTCTCTTGCCACGGCCTTTTTTCACCTCCTCTAACCAGGGAGATTTGATTGCACGGCTTCTCACCCGTGTTGATCTTCTTACATCCATTTGCCCTTGTGCTTGCTGGTCCATTTCATCCTTTTCCTCCATTTCATCGCCTACACCCTTATCCTCTTCTGCTGCTGCATCACTAGACTTGTCTTGTGTTTTTTCTTCTCCATCATCCTCTGATCCAGAGTGACTCCCTTCTCCTTTCTCCTCAGGTTGAGATTGACTCTCTTCTTCACGCGAAGCACTTTTGCCCTCTTCTTTATCATCTCCTTCTGGTTCACTCTGTTGTTCCTCTTGTGACAAAATTGAATCTTTTGGGCTTCCTTTACCTTCTTCACCGGTTTCTTCATCTTCAGTTGCCTTCTCTTTGTCATCTTCGCTACTTACTGCTTCCACCACATCTTCCTTGTCAATCTCATCCGTCAACCTCAACTGCAGGGAAACCAACTCTTCTCCAATTGTCGACACCAACCCTTCAACCATGGTCATCAACCTTTCATACGTTCTCTTGATTTCCTGCAAAACAACAGTAATGAAAGTTATCATTACTCCAAATTCTACACAGCACCAAAATAAGCTTCACATGATTTACTTACAGGGTGAGTTAGCTTTATTCCTGTGTTGGATGCACTTGTTGAAGCCCCACCGACACTCGGAACGCCATGCAATATGCCTCTGTCGCTATTCTTTTCTGATTTCACTCTTGCCTTCACTTTTTCCTCATCCCAATAAGTAATGGCATTTTCATTTTTTGCCGCCTTTTCTTTTCCGAGAGGAAAGTGTTGTAGGCATTAAATCTGCATGTGAAGTTAATGATAACTTAGATATACAACAACATCATCCAAACAGGCCACTGACAACATAAACAGCGGAAAATCACAACCTACACACTGCCCAATAACAACATACACAGTGACCAATCACAACCTACACACTGCCCAATAACAACATACACTGTGACCAATCACAACCTACACATAAGCCTGTCACAACATACATTTAGCCCATGCACAACATGTACAGCATCCAGTGACAACCCATACTCAACAGAATGACAACACGAACAGAATGCAATTACAACCTATACATAACCAGGTGACAAACCAACACATCCTAATGACAACCTGCACACAGGACAATAACAACCTCTACACCAGCCAGTCACAACATATCCATAACCAGTTCACAGCGTACATTTCTCCAACTGACGACATAGAGTAGTAAATAACAACATACACAGTGACCAATCACAACCTACACATAACCCTGTCACAACATACATTTGCGCCATTCACAACATGTACAGCATCCAGTGACAACCCATACTCAACAGAATGACAACACGAACAGAATGCAATTACAACCTATACATAACCAGGTGACAAACCAACACATCCTAATGACAACCTGAACACAGGAAAATAACAACCTCCACACCATACAGTCACAACCTACACATCAGCTAATCACAACCTACAGTTGTGTCATTCACAACATGCACAGCAGCCATTGACAACCCACGATAAACCGAATGACAACACGAACAGAAGGCAATTACAACCTATACATAACCAGGTGACAAACCAACACAATCCATTAACAACCTGCACACAGTACTATAACAACCTTGACACCAGTAAATCACAACCTATACATAAGCAGTTGACAGCGTAGTAAATAACAACCTACACAGCACATTAACAACAGAGTAGTAAATAACAACATACAGAGCAACCAATCACAACCTACACAGCACATTGACAATAAACTAACATCAAAGTAAATGAATCATACCCACACTTACCATTAGGAAGTACATGCAACCTCCCACATTTTTCGTCCCATCAGCTTTTCCTTTCTTCTTCCTTTCTTGAACTCTGCAATTGAGTTGCAGAATTCTTTCAAAACTAAGCTGCTCCAATCATAGTGTCCTAAACTATCCTTTGTCACCACTATGACTTTCAACACTTTATCACTCACCCATACACTAGAGCCAGGACACAAGAGGACTCCTAGTGCATACATAACAAAAAGGAATTCAAACTTTTCTTCCTCTTTTCCTTCAATCAACCATGTTCCTATTGTTTTGTATGGCACTTTCTCGTAGTCACTCCTTAATTTCTTGAACGTTTCATCTTCATTCTCCACATTTATTTTAATATCTTCCCCTTTAAATGGTAGACCCATCAATTCATTTACATCTTCGGGCCCCACTAAATGCGTCTTCCCTCGAATTAAAATTTGCCTACTTACAGGGTCAAACACACGGATCAATTCACCACAAAAATCTCTATAGATCTGTGAGCAGCATATGTCAACCAATTTATCAAAACCTATTCTTTTCAGTCTTTCCATCTTCTCTTTACTTTTCTTTAATTGCTTGCAGACTTCCATAAATTGTCCCGGAGCACAGCGTGTGTGAAAGGGAACAATATAATTCTTCCCTTTTGGTGGGACTCTCATTTCTTTAGCCCTTTCACCATATTGTTCTTTCTCCTCTTCTGTTAAGTTCCCCCAAGCCTTTTTCACAGAGTTAGTGCCCTCTTCAAAAGACTTAAACTTCTTCTTGTTCTGCTCATAAAACTCTTCAGTGAATAATATGTATCCGGAGAAATTCCTAGCCCTTT